TTGGAGAAATAATTTACTTTGATAAAAATGTAACATGTGTCAAGTTTAAAATTATGAGCTTTATAAACAGAGCAATAAAACAAAAGCAACATGTTGAAAAATGGTAGTCATTAATTGCACTAATTTTAGTGGTATTTCATTTCCATGAAAACAGAAATTATTTTAAAATACTATTTTAATAAATGGATGCAATATAAGAAAACAACTACAAAATGGTTTAAATAAATGTATCTCCCAAAAATATGAATTTGTGGAATGAATAAAAGTATAAAGGAATAATTGCAAATGTTTGTGAGGCACAATAGTATTTTCATATGTGAACAAAATATGCAATTACCCAATGTAGTATTTTAATGAGGAAACAAAATATGTAATTATCTAATCATGGTAATTAGTATATCATCTTAAACATATATCATATATGTTGTAAACACTCAAAATCCTGTCTTCTAGATATTTTAAAGGGAAATATAAATTATTAAATTGCATATTATTATTTTGGCTTTATTTTACTATTGTTTTGCATACATACACACACACACACACACACACACACACACACAAACACACACACACACAAAGTGTGTTTATGTGTGTGTTTCTGTGTACCTGCAGATGGGATGAGATACATGCAGATGCCAAAAGAGGATGTTGGATACCCTAAAGCTGTAGTTCGAGGTACTTGTGAGCTTTCTAATCAAGGTTTGGTGAGATATTTTCTAGATGAAGCTCACTGGGTGTGAACAGATGCTGAAGTGGATTTCAAAAGAATGAGTGAGCTGATTATCTGCATTGATCACTCTATCTGCTGACAGTATAGAGAGCAGGTGTCGCAAGCCCTATATATGACTGCCCTTTATCAGAATAGAGTCTACAGTGATTCAGTAAATGAGAGATAAATGCAATGATGATTGTACTAGAATAGGGAGGGCTGAGATGCATTGGTGACCCAGTGCAACACTGTTGAGCAAAATATTCTACCTTTTTTTCCTTAGTATCTACATTTGCAAAGAATGCTTATTACCTTCACACATTGCATTTGTAAATATAGATAATTTCTTCACAGAATTGTATTTATGTATCACAAACATACAGCATAATGAAATGTTAACATTGTAAACACTGTCTTTAATTTGAAAGCAGAGTTCAGAGTTTTCATAAGAGTCTATCCAGTTGTGAAAAGCTTTCAATGGGCCAGAATAGATTCCTACTCCACTTACATATTATAATCAATCTGTTAGAGAAACAGTATCTCAGTAGTCAGTACAAATATCAAGATACCTACTGGCTAGGAGAATGTACCAAGCACATGTAGGCACAATTTAGAAATGAACCAAGTATATGACAAACTTAGGGCAGTAACATGTGATAGGAAAACATGCCAATTAGGAAATTCCATTAGCAGAAATGAAGCAAGCAATACCATGTGAAACTGAGTGAAGCATAAACAGTCCTCCATTAGAAAACGTTTTATTAAAGAAGAAAATAATAGGAAACAGAAAGCTGTAGTGTTGTATTTTCCTCCGAATTACATTGTTGCTGCAATATGTAATACATATTGTACGCAATATATCTTAAATTCTTAGCTATACATTGAACATTTAAACTCAATTTAATGTTATAATCATTACTTATGTGAAATGAAAGTATCATTTTATGTTTTTATTTGAATAAAGAAACAAGATTGTTTTACATGTCAGTTCCAATTCCCTCTCCTTCCCCTCCTCCCCTGCTCTACACCTAACACCTTACATATCCCATACAATTTCTGCTCCCCAAGAAGGGTGAGGCCTTCCATAGAGGGTCTTCCGAGTCTGTCATATCCTTTGGGATACGGTCTAGGCCACTCCGCTTGTGTCTAGACTCAGAGTATCCTCTATGTGTGATGGGCTCCAAAACTCCATTCCTATGCTAGCGATAAGTACTGATCTACTACAAGGGGCCCCATAGGTTTCCGAGATCTCCTCTCTGACACCCACATTTGTGGGGTCTAGAGCAGTCCCATGCTGGTTTCCCAGCTGTCAGTCTGGGGACCAAGAGCTCTCCCTTGTTCAGGTCAGCTGTTTCTGTGGTTTTCACCAGCCTGGTCTTGACCCCTTTGCTCACCACTCCTCCTTCTCTGCAACTGGATTCGAGTTCAGTTCAGTGTTTAGTTGTGGGTGTCTGCTTCTACTTCCACCAGCTGCTGGATGAAGGCTATAGGATGGGATATAAGTTATTCTTCAATCTCATTATTAGGGGAGGGCATTTAAAGTAGCCTCTTCTCTGTTGCTTAGATGGATAATTGGTGTCATCTTTGTAGGTCTCCAGACATTTCCCTAGTGTCTGAATTCTCTTTAAACCTATGATGTCTCCCTCTATTATGGTATCATTTTTATATTGTTTTATAAAGTAGATTTCAGTTGTTCTTACAAAAAGAAGGAATTCATGGATCATAACAATAATTTTTGTGAACAAATCATGACATTGTGAGGGTTTTAAGTTTCATTGATGCAATGAATTCATAATGAATGATTCAGAAAACCTAAATGTAAGCAGCAAGAAATGACCTGGTGTTCTTGGAAGTTAATGTTTCTCTTTAATTTTAATTTGATTTGGGTGAATGCACTTTCTGGAGTAAGATCAAGATCTTTTTGTGACATGTACAATATTTTTGGCCTTGCTAATGTTGTGTACATATCACTTATAGACCTATGTATGTATGTATGTGTACTACATTTGTGTTTTTTTTCATTGTGGGTATGTTTTCTCTGATGCTTCCTACTTGCTTAATTTTATTCTGTATATAATTTTCTTGATTACATATGAGGATAGTAAACACAATGAGTAATTTAAATCTCAACATCATATTTTTGAGGAGCCACACTATTTGCTTCAACCAAGGCCTCTTGTATCAGATGTTCCTACAGTTCTGAAGAATTTTTTTTCCAGTGCCTTAGCACACATGGCCCCCTGCCACAATGTTTGCATTCTCTCATGCTCTTCTAAAGCTTATCTTTGGAAATTCTAAATCTGAGTCATTGGAACACAATTTTAATAGACATGCTTTGAGTTTTAAATTGATTAATATTAGTGTAATGGGAATATTTATTAATACAGAGCCTATACATGAACATTTATTTTGTGTTTAAATATATGTGACTAACAAAAGCATTACAAGGAAAAAATGCCACGAATCATCTATTGACACAAGACTTTAAAATAAATATTATAGTAGTTTTCAAGTGAAATGTAAAATTCATGTACTGAGAAATATGACTATTTGTAATACCTCACATCACGAATAAAATTATGTAAAACATACTGTATTAAGGGCCTTTAAAAGGCCAATGGAGGCATGATTTTATGCCAGAACTGTGTGGGGTAAAGTCAATCATCTCTCTGAATTCCTCTTCCATTATTGTTAGATGCTTTTTCAACTAGATTTAAATTGCAGAGAGTAAAATAAATTATGTACATGCATCTCTTTGAAGTGTGGCATTCCTGAATAAGCTTGGAAGTTTGTGTGTGTTTTAAATACTTCTTCATTTGTAATATACTCATAGTAATAGTCTAAAAAGACAAACCTAAAAGAATTTTTTCCTGTGAGAGTAAGGTATCATCAATGATAGGAATGAAAATATCCTTTAATTTTTATTCTAGAAACTATGAGCAAAATTATGAGTCCATCTAGAATGCTTATGACAAACATACACATTATTTCCTCTGACTGTAACTAGAAACACATCATCATTGTGCATAAATATATGGTCTCCTAAGGTTAGATCCTTAGATATTTCTTTTAAAATGTCTCCCGCCATTGGACTTCGTTTCCACACTAGATCAGCATGATCTCAGTTAGGTATAACAAATTCATATGTTCAAGTTGAAAATATGAACATTTTTCAAGAATATTTAATGCTCTGCATTTGCTAACTGCTTTAACATAGTACTCAATTATTAACACAACTATACCAATACTCACAAAGTTTAGTGTTTATGGACTGTTACTACTTCCATAGAATTCATTTCATTGTAAATATTATGCCTAAATATTAGTGTAACAGGCATTTAATCAGGAAATCCAAGTCCTCAGAGGAAAGACAAAGATTCAAATCTGAACAATATTTTACAATCTGCAACTGTGATGGGATCAGGTGATAGAAATGGAACATGCTACACAGAGAATAAGATATTAATAGGAGGCTATATTGAGGAAAATTTTCCAAATGCAGAATATTGCTTTCAGAAATGAAATGCTTCACACCTTTGCTAATTGTGCAGCAGTATTTAAGTGTCAGTAACACTTTCTGTTTAGTAACTGACTAGTACCGAGGAAGAAAGTGACCTTTGAAAATGCCAACCACTGAACAAGACTTGATGTGAAATCTTTAGTAGGCTACCGCTCTGTACAGCACGTAGCTTATTCTGACACTGTCACTCTTTCACTTTCTGTGCCAAAATAGTATCAAGTCTTCTTTGACAAGTAGGCTTTGTGACAGTTGTTTCTCATTAAAACCATCTGAGTTTTAAAGGACTTTTATTTAAAAAAAAATAGGAAGAAAAACATGCATGAGAGTGTGTGTGAGCACCCACATGTGTATATGTGAGTCATATTTTTGCAGTAATTAATTTATACAGTTAATGAGGAAATATGATTTTAATCATATTTAGAAAAATATATCTATGACACTAGTTTTGTTATGATTTCTGCTTATGTGAAAACCATCACATGGACAGAGAGAATTAGAATGACAAAATTTATAAGATTGCAAATGATGATATAAAATACTGTGTATAATACTTTTGTACATATATGACAGCATAGCTACAGTAAATACCTTTGATGGTGATGACATTTAGAACGATTTAAAAAAAAGTGTCTTGCATAAACATAATCCATCATCTTTTAACTGTATTTCATACCAAGGGTACTAAAATTGCATTACCACATGGAACTAGATGGACTTATGTCTGTAGAGGGCAGCAGAGATCAGCATTTGGGAATTGGCCATGGGTAGGCCAGCTGAAGAAAGAAGGCAGAGCCTGCCCAAGCTGTCCTGCCCCAAGCCGACTATGCTGGTTGTATGGCAGGAAGGGGCAGCCACTCAGGCAAGATGGTGGCAGAGGTGATACCGTTGGTCTGGGTCTCCGAGCAGGATTTCAGGCTGGTCAGCTGGAGGTGGGTAAATCACTTGGCCAATTTACTTTTTCTTGTGACCTTTCACTTAATGATGTTAGTTTATTTCAGTTGTTGCACTTGTCCCGTGGTATCCCATTTCCTTAGCTGGATGCTTTTATTCTCCTGTAAAGATGAAAGCAAAACCCTTCCCCAACCCTATCTCTTTGGGGTTCTTCTTTGGCAAAATGAGTTTTGGCAACAGAAAAAAAAAAAAGTATCTTTCAATTAAAAAGTTCTTTTGAAATTTTGAAACTAAATACACCTTAGTACATGTGTGGATAAATGTACTTATATTCCTCCTTCTCTTTGTATATATTCGTTTTTAGATCAAAGAGGACATTCACTTTGAATTTCAACATGAATTTGCCAGTTGCTTTTAAATTGAAATCACTGTAATTCTTTTTTATCTTGCTTTTTTTGCTCTTTTTTAAAAATTTCATTTTATTTAAATAACATAAGTAAATATTCCACTTGTTGCAACTCCCCACTTCCCAACCATTCCTCTCCCCTTCCACGCCTCCTCCATCAAGGGCAGGCATCCCACTGACTTGAGCAAAGCATGTCACATCATGTTGAGACAGGACCAAGCTCCTCCCCTTTTGCCAAGGTTGGGCAAGGTAATCCACCATGGAGAACAGGTTCCCAAAAGCTGGCTGAGTCTATGGTTCCACAGGTCTTGCCCAGATGGGATTCTTCTCTATCAGAGAATCATCCCTCTTGTGGGTTGACATCTAAACACTCGTTACCTGCTAAAACTCCCATGGCTTCTGATACTTCTAGAAGATTCTTAGTAATGACACTCAAGAAACTCCAAAAAATAAAGCTAGAATGTCCCTTTCATTCATGCATGCTTATTTCAATGTTTCTACACTATTTCATTTAAAAGTCATATTAAAGGACAAATAACTTCATATTATAACTTGCTCTTTATAATAGTGACCTTAAATTTTCTACCTTTTAGTAATAAAAGGTAAACTAAATTAGAGCATATAAGGAAAACTTTGAATAAAATGTTTGCCTTTTAAAACTGACCAAGGGGTATTGATTTTCATCATCTTTTTTCATTTGAATCTAAACACTGAAAGTCATAGTGTTTTAGATAAAATGTCCTTATTATAGGGACTAGGGTAATTTGATTATGGCTTAGAGTGCTTGCTGCTTTTGTAAAGGAAAAGGATTTTATTTTCAGCATCTACATGGTGGCACACAACCAGCTGTAAGTCCAACTCCTGTGTATCTCTCTCGCTTGTATGACCTCCACTCCATGAATGAGATGAACTTGCCAGCAAGCTTTTCCCTCACATTCTGATATAAAAATCAATATGTCTTAAGAGAAAACACTTCACACTTACTGTATTAATGATTGTTTGGAAAACTTATACAATTAACTATAATCTAAGAGTTATACATCATCTAAAATTTTACATATACAGTGCACATATGAACAGCACTGGATTTTCTGGATATCAAAAATAAGTGAATATGAAGACAGACATGAAGTTTGCCTGGAGATATGTTTGCAGAGATATGGAGAGAGTTGGAGAAGAGAAATAACTCACACTTAAAAATAAAGAAAACTAAAATCTTTTAGCAATTTAAATAAATGTTTACTTGAGCTTTGCTTAGAAATAATTATTAACAAATATACAGTGTTTGGTTATGATTTCTATTTGATTTGATTAGGCAAGTGAATTTATGTTTTGCAGTTTTGCTGTTATTGATGCAAAATAATTTTTACTTAAGCATAATATTGTTACACTTAGATGCTGCTTTACAGTTATACTAGAATAAAATGAATTGAAGTATTAAAGAGATATCTGTCATTATAGAGATTTTCTAATGTCATAAGTTCTAATATATAAAGTTTATTATCATGTGCATGCGATCACCTTGTTTACACATATCAGATGGTAATAATACCTGATAATATTCTTCATTCATTCTCTTGATCTTTTCTCCATCAGTTTAAAAATTCTACAAAATAAGTGCAATTATGTTGTCAGAACATACAGAAAAACTTCCTCACAGTGAAACTACTGTCCCTATATTGGCAAACTAAGTCTTAAAAGATTAGTGAATCTTGCAGATGCATATATTAAATATCATGCCAAATATATTCCAAATAAAAATAATCAAATCTGATGAAATATTATACCTTGAAATAAAGCATTTTAATTTGTTAGCAGTGTTGGGAAATAAAAATACTCTAATTTCTTAGCAGTGTTTGGAAATAAAAATATTCTAATGTTATTACTGCAATTCTTTGACATTTTCACTGTTGAAGTATCTTATTTCATTACTATTTATCTTATTAAAACAATTGCACTTGTAAGTAGCAGGATATTTGTTTTAGTTATGTTCACGGATTGATATTTATCTAGAAAAATGATCTTGTAAGGTAAAAAGACGAATTAAGTTTTCCTTCGCATGCATGAGAAAGACACACACAGAAAGAGAGAGAGAGAGAGAGAGAGAGAGAGGGAGGGAGGGAGGGAGGAAGGGGGGAGAGGGAAAGGGGGAGGGGAGATCTGGGGATAGAAGTTGTTTTGTATGGTCAGTGCCGGTGTTTTTCAGCTTGCTGAGCCCTGCCCAAGGCCCTCCAGTTTTGACATCAATGATATGTCATTTTCTCTGTGTTGCTATTAGAATGCCACAAGGTTACAGTAGATTAAAGTAACAAACTTTCTCTCTTCCATTTTGAAATTAAAATGATTTTAGAGTCATATGGCTAGAGAGATGGCTCAAGAGGTTTGAGAAACTGCTACACAATCATGAGACTTTATGAAATATCCAGGACACACATACAATCCTACAATGATACCCACCATAAATACACACACAAGCACTCACACATGTGCACATTCTGTATGCACCACAGGCACACATACGTACTCATTCCACATACTTACAGCCACAACCAAAAAAGTCTGCAATAAACATTATCAGGTACAATGTATAGCATACACACCCTAAATATTCTTGGGCAAAATATCATTCCTGTTTCTTATATTGTGTCAGACTTACTGACCCTTTGGAAACCTGACAGTACTTTGTCATCCACAATATTCATTGAGAGAATAATAAAACTGGGCTAAAATAAAGTGGTATACTATTTTAGTGAAGTTAATGACTTGTGCTGGTCAGCATATGTTGCTCCAGTGGGGTGCATGTAGTCAATGCTTAGCTTAGGTGGAACATTGGACTCTCCATCCTCAATACTGTTTCTTATCATCTCAACACAGGTTCATAGTGTATACCCTCTTGTCCTTTCCTGTCTGTCAATTCTCACTCCCTTAATGATGAAAGCAATTAAACTTGGGATGAATTTTCAAAACCCAAGGTTCTCTCTCTGATGGTTCTTATCTCAAATGTACTTCATAACTCTTTGATAAATATCCAGTAATATTGAAAAGTACCTGAGACCACGAGACAGAAAGCTTTTTTGAGGTCTTGTTTAGTTCTTGATGATAATGGTTGTCTTTGTTCATTTATATTCAATTTCTTAGATTTTATTCTATTAACTTATCAAAACATGTTCTATGTATTCACTGGTTTTCACTATTAGTTTAATTTTGAATTCATTTATCTTATTGTGATCAGAAATATCTCTTTCTACGTAGTGTTTATATTTTAACCTTCCAAAGTTCAAATGCACCATAAATTTCTTTCTTTAAAAAGTATCATGTGTTGTTGGGCCTAAAAAGGCTCAGATGTAAGGCCCAGTGTAACCTCCTGAGCCTGGATACAGTTTGGCAACCTGTCTCTGGCCTGTAACCTCCACGTGGGGGTGACTCAGCAAGGCCTGATTGTAAGACTGCCCACTGCTTGCCAGCTTTGTTGAATATTATTGGCCCTTACTTCTCAGGTCATCTTACACCTTAAGGAATCCTAAGATTCCCATCCCCTACCTCAATCCTATATAAATTCCTGCCTTTTGGAATAAATCGAGATCCTGCTTCCACAAGTCTCCCACACACTCCAAAAGTGTGTATTTTCTCCCTGGTAAGTAGTAGAGGGAAGGCTCTGAGACTCACCATCCTGCTCAGCCCCAGGAAGAGACTGGTTGGACTAGCCCTTCCCCAAATTTACATGCTAGAGAATCCAGCAATGTGTGCAATTTTTCATTGCAAATTGTTTATATTTCTTCATATGAGTAAATATACATGATTATATATTTTCAACATTTACTTATGTTTTTACTATATATATTATTGAAACAAAAAAATTCATAAACTCTATTATGATCCCCCTTTTTAATGTACTTGAGTGAGTACTCTGACTGGAAAGTCTCAGACTTGGTCATTTCTCCTCAAAAACTCCAGGTTTAACAGTAATTCTCAGAGTAAAGTTTTAAGTTGTATATTGTGTCTCATGGTTTTGCCAAAAGGAGAATAGAGAATATTCCCTTAATCTTTTGGCTGTTTGCAAAAGCATTTTTAGCACATTTAAGATAGTTGTTTTTAATTGTCTATACAGATGACACTTCAAAAGCATCTCATTTTTAAACTGTCACTTTATGAATATGAAAGGAAAAAGGAAAAAAATACTATAAAATTTCTCTCAGGGAAAATGTATATAATAAATAAGAAAACTAGCCGAATACTGAGTTATGTGTGTGTATGCTCACATATATTTGAGCATGTTTGCATGTCCAAGTACATGTGTGTTTGGAGACTTGAATACGCTAGGGGTCTCCCTTTAACCCTATTGATAGAGATATTAAAAAGAAATTGTATATTACCAAAACAAATCTTTTACTTTATTTGCAAAGAAAAGTAAAAGTTAGGTTATTTGAGACTTTAGTTTTGATTTTGTCTCCCATAATTTATATTGCAAATTATAATAAAGAATTCCTCCGAAGAAGAATCACACACCACATTATTTCAGTTTGAAATGTGATACATTGGGGGAATAGTTTTAATTTAGTATAAGTTTAAATGAGAATGAGGAAATCATTTTCTTAGACTTACTTTTATCTAAGTACTATTTTAATTCCTTTC